GCAAAAATATTCAAATATTAAAGATTTAAAAAATAAATTTATTATTTCTAGTTAGATTTTAGATAACAAAAGATCTTTAAATCCCATTTAGGTTATAAAATGGCGCACGATTCGGTCTGAAATGTAGTTAGAATATTCATACCTGGCCTGTAACTGAATCGAATAGTCCGACACAATAAGATCTCTGATTCTTTTCGAACCGAAATGTGATCATATACCTAATAAAACTAACAAACTCCAGTCTCCCTTTTGGCAAAAATCTGTTGATTTTTGGTACTTTGGTATAATACCGTTTCAGTACCTTATCGATAGACCTCTTTTTAATAGTTCCTTGGTATACAATGCCGAATACTATTTAGGTACTGATACAACGGGTACAGTGTTTACAAATTAAAAAACAAAAAATCTAAACTAATCTCTACAAAGGTTAATCCATTCTTTCATCTAAACCAAAGGTGGGTCGGAATTCGGATTTCCAACTTCCGATTTCCGACTTTTGAGCCAGTTCCAATTTCCGACTTTTCCGATTTCCGACACCGCTGAATGTTCCGACCCACCTCTGATCTAAACAATGTGTTGTTTTTTCTTGAATCAATTCTTTCAACAGACAACAATACCTTCCTCCTTCTTAATAAAATACTAATAAATTTTGCCAACTTTTTAATTTTATTATACTTTTTTATTTGTTTTCCTCCCAAAACTTTCCTTAAATATTTCCCTCCTTTTCTCTCCCTTTCTCTCAATTCTTTTCCTTTTCAATCACAAAAACTTTTATAAAATCTTAAACAATTGTTCTTTTTCCATTTATTTTCTTTTGATTAATTTCTTTTATTTTTACAAGTTTTGCTTAAAATAAAGGAAGAAAAAAAACGATCTTGAATCTTTTTTTTATTAATTCTCTTAATAAAATTAGGAATTTATTTGCAAAAAATAATTAAAAGGATTTTTATTATGAGAAAGTTTTGAAGTTTAATTTCTTAATTATTATTCTAAAATTCGTAAAATTCGCCATAATATTTAATACAAAGTTTAAAATCGGACCAAACAAAGGTCCTTCCCTTTATTCATTAACCCCAAAAACCGGTTACTTTGCAAATTCTGATTTTTAAAAATTTTATTCTAGCTCGAAAAACTCAAATACAGCCTGCGGCACAGAAAAAGGAAGAAATTTGGCATGCGGATATATCGGAACGGACATATCGGGATGTTTCAATGTACGAACAGTTACCTTACTGATTTCGGGACCTACGGCCACTGGGTCTTGGATAGTATATTGTCCTATAAAGGAATAGAGTTTTTATGATTCAGAATAAACGTAAACACGCAAGAAATTATTTTTGTCACCCCAATTCCGATATGTCCGCACACCGGGGCGGCAAATTTTCCGTCACTTTTGTTTTTGCTATAATTTTCTTCAATGCCGATTAAAATTGATAATTCATTATTTATTTGATTTCCAACATCCTAAATAAATTTTTGTACCAAATAATAGAAATTTGGTTCAAAGATAATAAAGACATACCCGCATTAAAAAATATTTTTTCATGATTTTAAAAAATACAAAGACCCCCTCCATATATTTTTTTTCAAAATATTTTTAAAAACCTCCAAAATCTTTAATTATTTTTATTTATTTTTGTCTATAAGGAAATATTTTTATTTATTTGACTCAAACAACAGTTGTTGTTTTTTCTTTAAATTTTAGGCCACAAGCGGAGGCGGATTTATATAGAGGAAAGAGAGAGAATTGAGTGGGAACATTAATAGAGAGTAAATACCTACTACAACTAATATTTATCCCTCTTTCTCAACTTCTGCTGAATTTAAAGGTCTAATCGTTTACAAAAAGTTAAAGTTGCCTTCTGGTCCAAACAAAATATTTTTATTTATTTTTTACCTTCCTAAATATTTTATTTAATTTTGGTTGGTTCTCTTCCTTAAAAATTAATTTTAGGAAAAAAGATCAATTGTTGACATTGATTTTTAGTTAAAAACTTTAATTAGAGGAAAGAATGAATTCTTAAAAACATCTACTTTCTGATCGAAATTAAAAAAATAAAAATTAAATTCAAAATTTTAAATTCCTTCCCTTAACCTCTTTACTCTTCAACTATCAAATTTTCCCCTAAATTCAATCCTTTTAACGTTGTTGATTTTATTAGGAGCTCTAATTTAGGACCACATTAATTTATGAACTTTAAACTTTACAAATGAACACAATGAGTTCGCTGTTACTTTTATGTTGTTTTTTTACATTAGCCCCTTTATCTGGGCTGCACGCAATTGGAAATAAAATTCCGCAACTCTCAATTGCGTGCAGCCCTGCCCTTTTATCCTTTTTGCTTTTAAAATGACCAACGAACTTTTAATTAATAAAAAAACTAAAAAAAGATTAGAAGGACCTTTTCCTTAATATTGAGTAAAAGAACTCTTTAATCCACTAGATTAATATAATTACATATTTTTTTTATATTTTTCTGTTCGTCTCTTTTTTCTTTTACTTCTTTCCCCTCTGGCGATGTAGTTTAATATTTGTAAAACATGATGAATTGGTGTTAAATTTTTTTTTTATTATTTTTCACTGTTTATTATTCATTTTTTGGCATTTTTATGCAGTTTCTGTCTCCTTTAATTTCAAATGCCAAATATATACTGATAGCATAGTTTTAGGTTTCGATCCAGAGATAAATACAAATGAGCGTTTAAAAGGAGTAAGTCTCAGTTTAGGCTAGTTCCGGTTCTAATTTTCATATTGTTTATGATTCTTTAATTAGGGATGGATCGTAGCAATTTACATTAGAGTTCAGCGGGATCGGGATGCCGGTCGGGATCGGGCGGGATTATCTCGGATTTTCTGAATCCCGATCCCGATTTCGGCCAATCCCGGATCCGGTGTCGGGATCCGGGATCGATATCACAATTCCAAAACCCCGATCCCAATCTTTTCTCTAAATCACGATACCTAATTTCTAAAGTTTAAATTAAGCTATCCCGTCTTAATTTATGTATATCATCCCTCGATCTTCAAACTAAAAAATTCCCGTCTTCATTTATATCATCCCTCCATTCTTCTTCAAAAAATTGCTAATTTTCCTTCTTTCAAAAAACAACAAAAAATCTCTCTCTCTCTTTACTTATTTCCGTTTTGTTAAAATCAATCACAAAAATAACTTTCAAAAAACATTTTCTTCTTCTGGCCTAGATTTGATTCATTTCTTCTTTTGTTTTTTTAAACACATGTTGGAGGGGGAGGGGGGGGGGTAATGACAGAAGAAAGAGCTATTTTCTCTTTTTTGCTTTTACTTAATTTCGATCCGTAAAAATTTTTTTACCCGTGGGCAATGACTAGTTTATTACTTTATTTTTGCTTCTTCTATTCAAGTCAATTTTGTTGATTTTTTGAAAAATCTCTTTTTGCAGATAAATCAGTGGATTTTTGTGTTTTTAATGTCTTTTCTGTGTTTTTTCTTATTTGTATTTTTGTGTGTTTTTGTGTTTTTTTTTTGTATTTTTCTTTTATAATTTACTTTAAATTTTAATTATTCTGCCTTTCTCTAGTTGTTTCCGGAAAACACATACATATTCCGGAAAACACACACGGAAAATACATACCTATCTATTGTCTTTATTTTGTATTTTATTATTTCCAGATTTAATTACTTCCGGAAAGGGTACACATCTAATATGTATTTCTGTATTTTTACTTTGTATTTTTTTGTAATTTTAATATTTTTATTATTCTCTCTTTCTCTTGTTAAGATTCCGGAAAACACACATATTGTGTTTATTTTGTATTTCATTATTTTCGGATTTATTTACTTCCGGAAAGTTTACTCATTTAATATTATTTCTGTATTTTTATTTTGTATTTTTTTCTTTATTTTTTAATATTTTTATTATTTTTAATAGATAGTCGGCTATAAAAATGCCGCAGCCTCCCCATACATTAAATATTATCAGGAGGCCTTTAAATATTTTATTTTCATTGCCAACAAAATTTATTTTAATTTTATTCACTTTATTTATTGGAATTGAAGGATTTAATGTTGACACTAAAAATGCTCAAATACATAGACGTCCAAATACTGGATTTGGATATACTGTAGATTTTGCTTATAGAGATTCTAGAAATAGAAAATTAACGTAAATTTTAAAAATTAATTGGAATGAATATTTAAAATTGAGAAATGTTGCTTAAGGACATTGTCTTCATTTCTAAAATTTAAAAATATATTTTAAATATAAAGTCGGGCCTTACTTAAGTGTACAAGAGTGTACTCTTTTATTTGACTGTAAATTTTTATGAATTTAATTGATCAGTATGTGGATGGAACCGTCTAAATAATACTCTCACGTGTTCTTACATTACATATTTGCTAATTTTTTCGGCCCCAGGGTACTCTTTCAGCAAGGGATTGGAAAAAATAATTACTTTTGATAATTAATCAAAGCGAGGTCTGACTGTAATTTACTCAATATCTTTAAGATTGCTAGTAGGAGCCCCATTTGCCCAAACCTCACAACGTCGGCTTCAAAACACTGGCGCTGTTTATGGTTGCGAAGTAGATACTAATTTATGTGTAGAAATATTTTTTGATCAAAAAGGTGAATTTTAAATTAGAAAAAATATTTTTGAAAATTATCTTAAAATAAAATCTAAATTATAATAAATTTATTTAGAAGTGAAGAGTTTTTATTAGTGTTTTTGTGCTAGAGTAATATTTTACGAACTTGAAAACATAATTAAAAATTAAGTAATAAAGACACAATTTGTAAAAATATTAGCATCTTCTTTTACAAATTAAAATTACTTTTAACTAAAAACTTTTTCAAGTTTGAAATTATTTTACAAACTTAAAGCAACCTAGTTTAGTTAGTATTCTACAAATTTATTAAAAAAAATTAATTAAAAATTTTAAAAATTTATTTTTTATCAAAAAGGAAATGAGCTCAGGCTTAACGGCACTTCTCTTTTACCAATAGAAGAAAAATCACATCAAATGTTTGGAGCAACTATAGTTGCTTCTAAAAATGGAGATAATGTTTTGGTCTGCTTATTTCTAAAATATAAAACTTTTTTACAATTTGTAAAATAATTACAATTCAAGTTTTATTTTTACAATTTTAATTAAATCTTTTTACAATTTGTAAAATATAATTAATTCTCCATTTAAAGGCCTGTGCTCCCCACTACAAATATTTCTTTGCAAAATTCGATGTTGTAGAGCCTGTAGGAAGTTGTTATTATTCTCGGGATTATTTTAGTAAAATACAAGAATTTGCTCCTTGTAGACAAGAACGTAAATAGATAATTAAAAAATTTTAGAAAAATTTTCTTTAGCCGCCCGTCACGGTCACCACCGCTTAGGTTACGGAATGTGTGGATTTAGTGCTGCTGTCCCCGATTTTGGGAATGAACGACTTTTTATTTCTGCGCCGGGTGCTTGGTATTGGCAGGTAAAGAATATGATCCTTATTTTTTCTAAAAATAAAATATTTAAATTATTTAATTTTTAAATTAATTTAAAAATTAAAATAATTTATTAATGATGATGGCATTAAAAATATTAATTAAAATTTTTATTATCATTTAGGGATCTGTATTCTCTCAAAATATTCATAACATAACAGACAGGCCAAATACGGCTGATGGTCCTGCATATACTGACAATCAAGAGCTTGGTCTAAATTTTAATATTTAAAATTAAAATAATATATTTTAACTAAAGAAAATATTCTTTAGGTTATTCAACAGCAACAGGGGACTTTGATGGTGACAAACTTGATGATATTGTTGTTGGAGTACCTAGAGGGAATGAATTAATTGGAATGGTTATTTAATTATTTTAGAAAATATTTAAATAATTTAAAAGGTTTCAATTTACTCGAGGCAACTCAAACCAATTGCTAATTTAACAGAAAAAGATGGACAGCGTGGACAATACTTTGGGGCTTCTGTTGCAGTTTTAGATTTTAATAATGATGGACTTGCGGTAATATGATTAATAGAAACTTGAAACAATTACAAACTTAAAAACTTAAATAAACTTAAAACTTGAATTTTGAAACTTGAATTTCTCAAAACTTGAGCTTAAACTTGAATTTCAAGTTTATTTAAATTTAAGTTTGTAATTGTTTGAAGGATACTTTAGAAAGTTTACAATCTATAAATAATTAAACTTGAATAATAAGAGCTTGAATTTTGCTTCAAGTTTTAATAAGTTTTAGATGCATTAAGAAACATTTTATGAACTTAAGTTTTTAAGTAAATAATTTTTAATACAATCATAATTTTTTTACAAACTTGCTTTAATAATAAATGGACTTGAATCTTAAAAAGTTTAATTACTTATAATTTTTTCCTGCAAATATTTTATACTTTTGTATATTAAAATTTGAAGCAGTTTCTAAATTTTAACTAATCTAAACTTTAAAAATTACAAACTTGAATTAATAAAGTATTGTCCAAGTTTCTAATTTTTTCACTTATAACAGGATATAGTTGTTGGTTCACCTCTCTATATTAACTGGGCAAACGTTGATGGAAAGACACAGGAACGAAAACCTCAATATGATGTTAATTAAGATTATATTTCAAAAATTAATTAATTTTTAAAGATTGGAAAAATTAGTGTTTATATTCAAACGGGGATTGGCACATTTAGAGAACCCGTTATTATTTTGGGTCATGAACAGTGGAGCCGTTTTGGTTATTCTTTGGCGGCTGCAGGGGATTTAAATGGGGATGGATTTCAAGGTGGGAGAATTTGAAGAATAATTCAGCTAACTATAATATTTTTCTCGTAGATTTGCTGGTCGGTGCGCCTTATGATGGAGAGGATGGGCGTGGGTAAATATTAAAATTAAAATATTTAAAAAACTTTCCGGAAGGGAAGAGAATAATTTTACAGGAAATATCAGAAACACAAGTTTTCCGGAAAATACATTTTTCCGGAAAACACAGAAAATTCAAAATAAACTTACCGGAAGCCTTACAGGAATAAGTTAAACTTAAGTTTTTAAACTAAAACACATCTATTAAAATACATCACTCCGGAAAAGGAAAAAAATACTTTAAGAAAAATACAGAAAAACAATATAAAATTCCTACTTTCCGGAAACTTTCTTAACAAAAATACAAATATAATTAAAAATAAACCCTCCGTAAAAATAATTAAATTTTCGCAGTATTGTCTACATATTTCATGGTTCTTCAGAAGGAATTAGGGAGAAATATACGCAAAAAATTCTTGCTAGAGATGTCCACCGAGATATGCGGACTTTTGGATTTTCTCTACGCGGTGGTAGAGATGTTGATGGAAATGGATATCCTGGTTATAAATAATGGAAAGAAGACTTTTTTTACTTTTTTGCTTCATCCTTTTTTAGATATAGCTATTGGGGCATTCAAAAGTAATCAGGCAGCAGTTCTTCGAAGTCGTCCAGTAATCCAAGTAGTTGGTTCTGTTCGAACTACAAGAAAAACAATTAATTTGGATGAGAAACAGTGTGTGACAGAGTTTGGGAAAATGCCTTGGTTTTGAATTAAATTTTTTTTAAAACAATAAAATCATTTAAGTGATCGTCTAAGATTGTGCCTTAAATATGCAGGGAAATTAGTAGCAGGTGCTGACCATCAACAGATTGCTCTCAAAGTAGAAATCCACCTTGATGCCCTCAAAAAAGGGCTTTCCTCTCGAGCATTTTTCTCTCGTGCAGAATTGGAAAAGCGGAGAGATTCTAATATTCGAGTACACCAAGCATCTTCAAGTAGAGATCAGCCTGATAGAATTGAGCATACTTTAACGCTTACAAAGGGGCGGGAGCACTGTGAAAGTTATGAAATATATGTTCCGGTAAGGGCTTTATAAACTTGAAATAATAAAACTTGAAACATATTCGTTAATAAACTTAAAAACAATTTTACAAACTTTAATATATTTAGTATTAAAACTTGAATTATTTTCAAGTTTACAAACTTGAAGCAAAACTTGAAGTAAACTTGAAGTTTACAAACTTTAATTTAATAAACTAAAAACTTATATATAAAAAGCTTTCAAGTTTACAAACTTGAGAATAATTGTATAATTAAACTTGAAATAATATTAAAACTTGAAGCATTGAAAATAATAAACTTGAAACCTTTATTAATAAACCTAGTGAAATAAAATAAACCTGAAGCAAATAAATAAACTTGAATCGTCATACTTCACAAACTTGAAACATTTATAAACTATAATATTATAGGACACAATTCGAGATAAAATTTCACCAATTCTCATTTCTGTTAACTACAGCTACGTGGAAAGTGGTATTCCTGGACGTTTAGAACATGCTGTAGACACAACACTTGTTGAGGGTTTAGATACAGAATTAATTATAGAAAAGGACTGTGGGGAAGATAATATTTGTGTGCCTGATTTACACATTACTGCGAGACCGTAAATAAAATTTTTTTTTAATTAGAAAATTAAAAAAAAATTTTTAAATAGAGCAAAAGATAAATTTACAATTGGAGCTATAGATCAAACATTAATTCTCAATGTGAGTGTGGAGAATAAAGGAGAGGATTCGTATCTAACACAATACACTGTGTCTATACCTCCAGGATTTGAATATGGAGGAATTGAAAATTATGAAACAAAAGTTAGAGTAAAGAAGCAATAAATTTTGAATTTTATTTTTTAGTATTCTGTCAGTTGTTCCCCAGCAGAACACCAACAAATAATTCAAAAAAATAGTCAACAACCTTATGAATTTATTTGTGATATTGGAAATCCTCTCCCTGCGGGGGCTACAGCTAATTTTGGATTTAAACTAAGAGGGCATGATGTGGATATGTCTAAAGAGTTTGTAGAGTTACGGATGGGTGTAAACAGGTGGATTTTAAATAAATATGAGGCATAATAATTAATTAACCCTTGAGTGGGGGAGTAATTCCCCTCCCACAGATCAGATAGGGGAATTAAACTTAAGTCTAAACTTGAGTCTTAAAATAAACTACCGTATTTCCTAAAATAAAGCCCCATGCTAAATTAGAGCCCCACCCTAAAATAGAGCCCCATTTTGAAGAATAGTTGAAAAATAGAGCTCCATGGGGCTTTATTTTAGGAAATACGGTAAGTCCGAAACTTGAAACACTCTTCAGAAACACTCTTCAATTAATGTTTTTAAATTTAAATACACTTGAGACTCTATTATTAATTAATCTTGAATTCTTCATTCAAGTACAAATGAAGAAGCAGCAGGTGCTGGAGGCGATAATCAAATGGTTTTGCGTATTCCAATAGAGGTTAATGCACAGCTTGGTTTGATAGGAAGGAGTACTCCTCCCCAAGTGGATTATTCTGTGCGTAATCGAACGCCGGGAGTGGCGGCCACGTTTGACTTTGATATTGGGCCTACAGTTAGTCATCTTTTCCAGGTCTGGTGAAATATTTTATAGAAATAAATTAAAGTTGAAGCAAGCTTCTTTAAAAGATGAATAGACTAACAAACTGAAGCAAAAAATAGGCTAAACAAAACTGAAGCAAAAAACTAAAACATGAAGCAAATTTATAGGTTACAAACAGAGGCCCCAGTGCCATTAGCGGCGCCACTCTCGATATCTTTTGGCCTTCATTTTCCGAAGGAGACCGTTATCTTCTATATTTGATTGATCAACCTTTTGTTAGCGACACAACAAAAGCAAAATGCCGATTAAATCAACCTCAACATATTAACCCGGCAAATTTAGCGGTAAATTTTGAAGCATTTTTGCTTCAAATAAAATTAACTTTCTAAAATAGATTTCTAACGTTCATATGGCTACAGCTAGTCCAATTGGGGCTCATGGCATTGAAGAAGATGGGGAAGTAAATGTTGAGCCTGAAGAGGAGGAGGAGGAAGAAATTGAAACACCTCAAAGGCAAAGTAATAAACATAAGGGATGGGCTGTAGAAGATGGAGAAAATGAGGATGAAAATAATCTGGAATATCAGGATTATAATCCAAATAATCCAAGAAAGCGTCGACAAAGCGCAGTTCAAAGAAATCTTAGAGCTCAGAAGCACATGCTACGTGATGCTGTCCAACATGCAAAACAATCTGGGGGTGCTACAGAATATCATGGACTGTTAGGAAGAAATACAATTGTAGGTTGGGGGAAGAAATTGAGAGTGGAAAGCAGGGGGTTACTATAAGAAAAGATGGAAATTTTCGATAATAGACAAGAATTATATAGATAATTATTTTTTGAAGCAAAAATTGAAATACATAAATTATGAAAAACAATCTATTAAAAGTAGGATTGGGGGCCCGCTCCGAAAGATCGAGTCTGGCAATGAATTTTTGCCCGAAAAAGACTCGGTCGAGCCGGCCCGAAAAAATCAGGCCCGAAAACGATGACTCGAACGTCGACCCGACTCGAAAACCCAAACTCTAATTAAAAATTAACTTGAAACAATTTAAAAATAATCTTGAAACTTTTTTGAAACAAATGAAAATTGGACTTGAAAGCAATTAATTTTAACATTTCCTAAAATAAACTTGAATCGAGAATGCTAATAAATTTCAGAAATAATAAATTTTTTAAAATTCAGAACTGTGCCGCACTAAATTGTACCCACATTGAATGTGACATTGGCCGTTTGGAGGAAAATGAATTTGTGTTAGTTGAAGTATTCTCTCGATTATGGCTGAATACTTTAATTGACGAGAATCATCTTGATGGGGAAATTTCTTCAATAGCTTTAGCTAGAATCTCTGCATTGCCTTTTGCACCCAAATATTCACCTCCTGCTTTGTTAATTGCTGTTAATACAGAAGTGAATCCGACAGATCCAGAAGCTGGAATTTGGGAACTACCGGTTTGTAAAAGAGAAAAACTTTAAGCATTCGAAAGTAAAATAAGTTTAAAACTTGAAACATAGAAAATAAACTTGAAGCATAGAAAATTATCTCTTAACAAACTTTGAAGCATCGAGATGCTTCAAAGTTTGTTAAGAGAACATTTTAATAAAGGAATACTATATGTCAATCGCAAACTTGAAAATAATTAAACACAAACTTGAATAATAAAATAAACGTGGGGAAATAAATAACTGCAAACTCAAATAGAAGTTTAAATTAATAAAAATAAACTTGTAGCATAAAATTAAACTTAGAAACTTAAGAATACAAGTGCAAACTTGTAAAGAACACAAACTTGAAACACTTGAAACATAAAAATCAAATAATAATTTTTAAATATAAATTAATTTAAATATTTTTAGTGGTGGCTTTGGCTTCTAGCAATATTAATAGCATTATTGTTACTTGCCTTAATTATTTTTTGTTGTTATCAGGTCCTTTTCTCTTTCAATAATTTAAATAAAATTATTTTTTAAGTGCGGTTTCTTTAAACGTACACGTCCACCCCCGCAAGAAAAGGCTCGCTTACGACCAGCAGAAAGGCCTGCTTCAGGGTACGAAAGTGACACCGTTGATGGGGGTCACACAAATGGACATTATGCAGATAATGGGGCTAGATATGCTCCTCCACAAATGTAAATAAAAATAAATTTTGATTTTCTGAAAATATTTTTTCCTAAATTTTAAAGGTATTCTTCAGAAAGACACGGTGCTAGAGTTTGAATTAAATTCTAAAAAAATTTTTTGTTTGAATTTTTGCTCATATTTTAAAGTATTATAATTTTTGCCTATCTTTCATCGTCCTTTTTATTTTTTGGAGATTAATTTTAGAGAAAAAAATCTATCAGTCTACTATTTAATATTTAGAAAAATTAAGTTTGATGTTTAAAATGGAAAATAAGGCTGATGGATTTTAAAGTAAAAAATGTGCCTTAAAAAGTATATGGACTTGAATAAGCAGAGGTGAAACATTAAAACTAGGGTAGGACAAGACCGGATTTAAAACCGAAAATGTTGAAATTTTTTGACAAAAATTAAGCCATTTTATAAAATTATAACCGGAAATTTATGAAAATGAGTTATTTTTTCAAAAATTCCCCCAAAATAAAATCGGTAATTGGTCAAAACTCAACCGGGTTTTTGAAATTTGAATTAACCGAAAACCGGGAGTACCGGCTAATCTTCGGTTGTGTCTTACACTAATTAAAACCTTAATTAAAAACATATAATTAGTAGAATAGAGATAAAATAAACATGAAACTGAAAAAATAATCATGAAGAATCAAATATTTGAAATATAGGTTTAGTAAAATATTAAAGTATTCCCGAAAAGTTTGTTAAAAATAATAAAATAATTTTATTTTTATTATTTCTTCGTTCATAATAAAACTACCTAATTTTAAATACTTTTCAATTAAATCTCATTCTTTAAAATTATTTTTGTTAATTTTTTTGTTTTGTGCACTCTCATAATTAATTTTTTGTCCATTTTTTATTTTTCCACATTTTTTTGATTTTTTATGATATTACGTATAACTTTAAAAACAGTATTGTACTAGTCATAATAAATAAAAATTTAAACTATTTTATAAATTTTTGTAAAATTAAATTTCGGCACTATTTATGATTTAAATAAGTATACTAGAATTTATTTTAAATTTATTAGCTAAGAGATTTGTCTATTCTTTTGTAAATAACGTGGCTCTGGTACAGTTTAGTAGGTGAATGAGTCTAGTAGGTAAGTGCGTCCTAAAAAATGTTTATAATTTGATGGGGGAGGGGGGGGGGGTGATTGTGTCTTTGGCATGTTAGACGTAGGACAAATAAAGACTCCAATATCAATATATCTATTCATTTATTAGTTAATCACCCAATAAACTTTGAGATCCTGCTATCGAGTAGGTGGCATACAGCAATAAAAAAATGCTAAATTTCATTGTTCTCATAAATCTCATCGATTCATAAACTTTGAATGGACTAAAATAAATTTCTTTGGACTACTAAAATAATTTAGAGCCAATAAATTTTTGTCTTAAACTTTTAAATATTTTTTTATATCTTTTATTTAAAAATTTTATTCATTTTTAGAAATAATGGAAGTAGTATTAATAATAAACATTATTTAATATAATTTAGTAAAATTCTTTCCCAGTTCATTTTTCCCAATAAAAATATTTTAAATATAAATAAAATAAATATCCACAAATTTTATAGTATAGTGTGAATCATTAATTCTAAATTTATTTAATTTAAAAAATTATTATAATTGATGTACATTAACTAATTTAAATAATTTAATGGTTCCCAAAAAAAGCATTTTCGGCTCATTATTAATTATTTCCATAATTTTTAAATTTTGTAATTAAAATTTTAATAAATTTTTTCTATATTTTAAATGCTATTAAAAATATTTTTGTTTATTAATCTACTAACTTTTTCCTTTCAAAATAGCTTTTTATTAGAAGAATGTAAAGATTTGACGAATACAACGGCAAGTTATTTGAGCGAGTTTTACAGAAAAACTTAACATTCCGGAACATATTCTTTTCTCAAAAAATAAATATCAACACCTTCCGGAAAACTTAAGATTCCTGAAAACCAAGGTAGGGGACCCGATCCGGCCCGGACCGAAAGATCGAGTCGGGCAATGGAATTTTGGCCCGAAAAAGACTCGGTCGGGCCGGCCCAATAAAAATGGGGCCTGAAAAAATGACTCGAACGTCGGTCCGACTAGAAAACCCCAACTCTACTGAAAACTTAGAGTATACAAGTCTCATCGTCTTGAATTAATATATTAAAAAATCACAAAAAAATTTATTAAAAATTTGTTTAGCGTGAAACCTATTTTTGGAATTTACGCTCGCCTAATGAAAATAAAAATAGTGGTAATGAATCAAATCACAGCAAAAATTATCTTTTTGGTTCAATACATGTCTCTTGGAATTTAATTTGGGATTTTGGTGAAAAATTAATTTTTTCATAAAAATAAAAAGAATTTTAAGTTCCAAACATTGTAAAGGACGTGATGCTCAATAAGACTGAAATTGCTGTATTTGAACACGATTTATTAAATCATACAAATTTGAAAAATATATTTAAATGTCTAAACAATACAGAGCCTTCTAGGCAAGCACAAAATTTGCTGTCTGAAGATCTCTTAGTTTTAATTGAAAAAGGTATCGAATACGATTTATGTACAGGGTGACCCAGGGCACTCTTCATTTAATTATAACTTTTTTCTCATTTACATATATTTTTTAATATTTTTATAGTCATTTTGTAGCCCAAACAATTCTCATTTAGGGCTTATATGCCGGGTTTCATTATTGGACCTTCTTCACATCATGACAAAATAAAATTTTATTTAAGTTTTCCAGTAAAGTTATTAAAAACCTTCCGTAAGCCCGTTAACCCCAATAATTTTAGCCTCGGGTCACTTGGTTCCCGTGGTTCTGGGTCAGAGGTTCCCACCTTCCCATCACCAGTAAGGTTGGCGGATAGTTGGAAATCTTCGGATATCCAGATCCGGTATCGAACCAAAATTTTCGGATATCGGATCCGGTTTCGGATACCCAGCCTTTTTTCGTATCCATATATCCAGATCCGCCACCCTTAGTCACCAGCGTTCCTTAGAACGTTGCTTGAACCCTATTAATAAATATTGAAGTAACACAACCATTTTTACTATAAAATACACAATATTTTATAGTTCCAATCTTAATTAAAATTCGTTTTAAAATAGCAATAATTATTTCAATTTTATTTAATTAAATATAGCAATTGAACTCCAAGCATCTACCGGCATAGTCAGCCTCGGACCATTATCTCAAATCAGTGTTCGTAAAATGCCCCCCGATTGGATTTATATTTCCTTATTAGAACTTGTTCAGCAGCACGAAATGATAGCTTTAAAAGGAATTCCTCTTTTAACATTAGATTATTATTTGCAAGAACAAATGTTTAATACTGGACATATTCTGCTTCAAAATATTGAAAATTTAAACGATAATGAAAAATGTCCAATGGTTTTGCCCTCTATTGGAAAAAACGATGTAGTAAATAAATAACTGATAGACTACCATAATTCCCTTATATTAGATAGACCTCAATTTAAGATAAGGTCTCCCTGCCCCGTTCCCCGAACACTAATTCCCCGCAACCCCTGTTCCACGTAAACTCAGCCCCCGCCCGTAATATCGAACCCCGCTTCAGGATAAGGTTAGTTTCTAGTTGGTTGGCCACAGGGCGTGTGGAGCTGTCTAATATACAGTAGTTAACTTAATTCTGATACCGGCTAAATATTTAAGATAGAATGGCCGAATCCTTCAAAAAAATTAGCAAAGGAGGGCATCTAACTTAATCCTGATAGACCCGGAACTGTCAAACCTTGCTAATCTTTAAGTTTGCTATTCTATGTAGATTAAATTTCTCAAGAGGTATCATCTATAAATAATAGAGGGGCTAAATTGTAATTTAAAATCAATTTTATTCAAACTCAAGAGTTATTAAAAATTTGTAGCTTTCCAATGCTTTACAAGTAATGCTAAAGGTGTTGGGAAAAGTACAAGATATAAATACAAAACAACCAAACATTGCCTCAACACGTATTCACCTTTACAAATGTGGGTTATTAAATAGTAAAGAAGGAAAGCAAATGTTGAATGAAGCCAAGAAAGAATTTATTGGGCCCGATTTAATTAAGGCATTCAATTACATATATTTAAATAATTTTTGAAAGAAAAATTGCCTAAAAATATTTATAAGAAATAGGCTTATGGGCCGATAAAAATGAAGCCCGAAAAAGACTCGGTCGGGCCGGCCCGATAAAAATGACTCGAACGTCGGCCCGACCAACCCTAATCAGAAATATTCCGAGCTTCTAATTTTTGTCTACGAAAAAAATTTAATCTCCCGCTACTTTCTGGAAAATTTCCCGTTAATATTATAGTAGTTACGTTCCTGGAAATTTTAAATTTTCGGAGAATATTATAGTTTTAATTTAAAAAAATTAAAAAAAGGGAGAGACTAATCTAAAAATTATTTAATTTATCAGATTGAGAATATTGTCAATAAAGATTTGGTGCAACTACGGAATAAACAATGGGCTAATCAAATTGATCAGTTGATTAGTAAAACGCCAAACAAAACTTTTATTTTTACCTTTAGTGTTGGTATGTTCGTTTATTTTTTTGGTACTTTTCCGTAATACGATCACAATCTGAGCGCCAGCCGACTAGCATCGACTCTAACCTTTTGATGCTTGATTCAATACAAATGAATTTTACATCATTCGAAGCCCTCGATAAGCTGTATCTTTCTAATAGGAAGATCAAATCTGATCACCCATTAAAAAGTTATAAACCAATAAGTTATTTGGTGTATTACACATTTATCAGGAAATAACTTTTTAAAGGCTAATCAGATCTGATTAATCAAGTTGGTAAAAAATACCGCTTATCGAGGGCTTTCGAATGATATAAAATTCATTTGTATAGGATCAAGCATCAAAAAGTTATAGCCAATCCGAGCCGGCTGAACTCTGTTTGCGGTCGTATAACGGAAAAGTACCATTTTTTCAAAAAAAATTTTTTTAGATCATTTCATTGGCAAAAATAATTTATTGGAATTATTGAGAGAACGTGGATATCAAATAGAAAAAATAATAAAAATTCCAAAAGTTGCTCAAAAAATATCAAAACAAATTAAAGAGGATAAAATAAGTTCAAATAAAACTTTGGACAATTTAATTGAAGAAAAATATAAAAATAGGACTATAAAAAATAATTTAAATCAGACTAAATTGAATAAAAATAAAATTGAAAATATTAAAAGAAAAAATAAATTAATGGAAACAACAACAAAATTAACAAGTATTAGCAATTTAACAATATCAGGAAATTACTCACACATGTCAAATTTTAATCGAAGCAAAAAGTTTGTTAATAATTTTATATACTTAAATTATTTAACTTTTAATACTTACCGTAAAGCTCTTAGTAACTACCCTGGGTAATTGTTATTTTTAATTTTCGCTGGAGAGAGTAATTAATCGAGGGGTTTGAAATTTGAACGCGTTTTAAGGTTTTTGATAGGGGGGTGGGGGTAATTATTGTTTCAATCTATTGCTGGAGGGATTAATGGAAGTGGGGTAATTATTTGTATTATGCTTGAGTAAATTTAAAATTAATTAAAAATAAACCGAACAAGAAAGCAACATTTAGTACATAGTTTATTAGATTATTCATTAATAATTCAAAGGGCAACTAGGCACATTAAATATCTTCACATTAAATTTTGTGGAGATATTTCAGGTTTTACAAAATTAGGTATATTTTAACTAGAGCCCGCTCGTTACGATATTTCTTCGATATTTTTCGTTATTTTTTTGATTTAACGATACTCCCTCCGTTATCGATACCTCCTCCTTTTAATTATCGATACCCCCTCGATACCCCTCCATCCGGGCTCTAATTTTAACCGAACTACAAGCTTGATCCGAATAGTAAAAAAAGTATAAGAAAGTACTCATAGGTCTATTTAGCTTAGCAAAAATTATAAAACACAAAAAGCAATTAAGCAAGATTAAAACAAAAAAATATAAATATTCAATTTAAGCACTACTTCCTATAATTTCTTCAATTGGAATAATCTCAAAATGAGCAAAACATTTTTTGTGGTAATAGCTTCCGTTGCCGCTAACATTCTCCTTTTAATTATACTTATTCTCTGCAGTAAATTTTATACTTGGAAAAGAAGATCAGATGAATATAGGGTAGAAGAAAAGAAATTTTCATTGGACATTGAAGATGGGGTGGAAGTTAAAGAAAATGAAGATTCAGAAAAATTTATTATATTGGGGAAGGATGATGTTAAATATATTGTTAATGGAAATATAAATAAGGAGACTTGAGTGAAATTAATTTAGTAAAAGAATTGAAGATAGTGATATACCTAACTAAAGATTAAGCAATTTTAAGATTCATACAATTTAAGTGCGAAGACTTACTTATCCAGAAATATAAGAATTATAGAATAGTAAGAACGAGGTAAAAGTTTAATCCAGGGCAGGCTTCCAGGCTTTGATCCTGGGACATCCTGGGGATAACTCAATATACGAACAGTCACCTTACTGATTTTGGGACCTTGTACGACCACTGTGTCCTGGATAGATATTGTCCTATTGAAGAAAAGAGTTTTCAGGTTTTAGAACCAACATAAACAAGCAAGAGGTTCCAAATATGCAATCCAAATTTAAATATGTCAGTCTCGATATGTCTCCCTACCTCGGAAATAACAAAAAAAACATTTAACTAAAAAAATTTTTTGTCTGTCAAAGTGACTGTCAATCATTTTTAAAATAAATTTATTGTTTAGATAAGGAAACATTTTTTGAAAAAAAAATAATAAATTCATTATTTATAATTAATGTATTTTTATTGATAAAAGAAGCAAATTTAATTATTTTCAAAAATTAATTAAAATATTTAATCTGTATAAGCTTAAAAATGGATGAGACGGATTTATTAAATAAATGCCCGAATGATTGCTTTGACCATTTACTTGAACAAGTAAAACTAAATTGTTCAAGTTCCCATAGTTCTGCAACTGCAAAAGTTTTGAGAAAAAATGTGGATGAACTGATGAATGAAATGTAATTATTATAATTAAAAATAATAAAAATTTGAATTACATAATAATATCATTTTAAATTGATGCGGATCTCGAATTTTTAAAAATCATCAATTTCGAGCTAGAAAATCCGCATTTTATGTCAAAAATTTGCAAAAAATTTTTTGGCACTTTCGGCACTAAAAAATTTATTTTTTGCGTCCTATGCGAAATTTTTAGGATTTTAGAAGGACAAGGGGCCAGATTTCTTTTTTTCAACGTCGCAGAAACAAAGACTACAAAAAAGTATCCAAAATTTTCCTCATAATCTTCAATAGTCCACAAAAATTCGCAAATCAGCATTTTAAAAAATGATCCCCATCGACCTCACAAAAAACCTAAAAATGAGGAAAAATCCGCACATATCCGAGCTTTGAATTAATGTACGCTTAAATTTTAAACTTAAGTATCCAAAACTTAAGTTTAATTGAAGTTAAATTTGTAAACTTAAGTTTCCGGAAACAATTTTGGTAATTTAGATTAGTTTCCAAAACAAGTTTATATTAATTATCAAGAGTAGGGTTGCCAATAGTGTTGCCAGAGTATGACTGACTCGATAAAGTCAGGCCCGAAAAAGTCTCGCACCGGCCCGACTCGATAAAAACAATCCCGAAAAAATGCCTCGACCGTTGCCGCGACTTGAAAATGCAACCCTAATAAAGTGTAAAAGAACTTAAGTTCGACTTAAAGTTACATGCAGGAAATAATTTTATTAACAAATTATTAGCAATTATTTTATTAAAGGCGAACAAATGAATATTTTGGAGCATTACGTTCAGTACTAGATGATGAAAAACAAAAACATGGTGATATGAAAATAATTTCAAACAAACAGACAATATTTAAGAGGAAATATGTAAACAATTAGCTACTGCTATGGAGTTGTTAATTGTTCAATCACATGGGGCTAAAAATAAATTGAGAGGGGATAAGGTGGAAGATTCTGATAAATTAATTCCTTCTGTGGAACAAAAGATGGTTTTAAATAAATAAATTAAATTTTAAAAATTTAAATTTCAAATTAGGCAGAATGCAGAGACTATTGTTTATCAGAAGAATTGACTGATGAAACAGAAGATAAACAATTAAAATTACGTATGAGGGAAGTTATTGAGAATAGCATCAATATCGAAAACAATATAGCCAATGTATATCTTTAAAAATAATTTTCCGAAAAATATAATTAAATTCCTGAATTACCTTGGGTAATTATTATTTCACTCCATGGCTGATGGGGGTAAATTAATTGAGATATGGTAGTTTTGATATGTACATAGAAGGTTATATACATTAAGTATATACGTAATAGTGTTTCGCCGGAAGTTCCGGTTCCGGTATTGCGTTAAGTACCCGGTTCTGCACTTTAGTACCACAAAATCTATGGGAATCGGAAGCTCTACTCATCCAGAGTTTTGATATACATGCGTGATATATGTAGAACCACAAGTACATAACGCTGAAACGAGTACGTCATAGATTGGACACATAGAATTTAATAAACTTTTCATTCGAAGCGTATAATTGGACGCGTATTATTGACAAGAGCCAAAATTCTCAAAATTTTCAGAATACCATAAATTGTATTCAAATTGGACGTCAACTTCTTTTACATCATTCAGAAATTCGGCCAATTACCTCTACAGATCTAAACTTTTTTGAATCGAGTATTCGTATTTCAACACATATTTGGGACGCTGAGGTGCGCGATGCAGTTTGTAGTCAATTGCTTTTATTGAAAGCTTTGGGTGTAGGGAAACGGTTGGCGTTTTAAATTTTAAAATTTTATTGTCCTTTTATTATTCAGAAAAAAACGTCAAAACTTCTCTGATAGAATCACCAACATCCTTAATAATTATTTTATTAATCATCTCAGTAAGCCTTATCCAGGTATTAAAATAGTAAATATAAAATGAGCGAAAAATAATTTTTTAAGATGAGCAGACCAAATTAGCCTTAGCTGAACAATGTGGAATTACTTTAGCACAAGTATATTTTTAATTTGGAAATTGCTTTGGAAAAATTATTTTATGAGGGATACAAAGAATGATTGTTGAATGAGCCCAAATTCTCAAAATTTTCTCAAAATTCCCCCAAATTCTCAAAATTTTACTATCCAGACCCGTATCATAAGAACGTGGTTCGTGGTTGTTTAACCCTTACCGAGCGTTAAAATTGGTATCATAAGAAAAACGTGTGGTTCATGGTCAAATGACCAGGTCATTTAACCCCTACCGAGAGGTCGTGGTTAACCGGTATCATAAGAGATCTCCGGTATCATAAGAGAGAAGAAAAATATCAGACACTCTTGTGATACGAAAATATCTCTGGGTAGGGGTTAATGACCTGGTTAAATGGCCAAGTTCTTATGATACCTTTTAACAACTTGCTCTTATGATACGGGCACGATGGATCATTTTTATTCATTTATATTTTATTAATCCTCTTAGTAAGCCTCATCCAAAATAAGTTAAAACAATAATAATTCATTCAAAAAGAAGTTAAATTTCCGATAATTTAAAGGTGTCTAATTGGTTTGGAAATAAACGAATTCGTTATAGAAAAGCTCAGAATAAAGCAACAAAGGCAGCTATAATGGACGATAAATAGTGTCGGGAGTCGGGAGTTCCCGACAAATTGGTTTTGAAGAAAAAGAGAGTCGTGGCACCAGCCAGTGTAGAGTGGCACTGGCACCAGACTGTTGGTAGTGCCAACAGTCAAAGGAGAAGGGCAGTAGAGTGACTCGGAGCACGAGTCACTTTAGCCAAGGAGTAGACGTGGTGAACAGTAGTGCCGTTCACTTTTTTACAACCAAAAACACGAAGAAAGACCAGTTGAACACGACGAGTAAAATCCACCAAGAACGAGAATTCACACTGAGCACTGATTTAGAACAGTCGACTCAGTGGACCAAGTAGTGAACCAGGGCACGGTTGGTTCACTCTTAAAAACACCACAGGAACCACGCACAGTCCAAGCAAGTAAAATTTATTCCACAAATAAAAAATCCAACAATTGAACACGATAAGGCCAATGAGAAGTCCACAGGCAAGCCACTAAGTTGATCCGTAAAATAGATGTAGAATGGAAGGATGAAGGATAAATTTTAAGGCTTGCCCGCCGACTTAAATAGAGATTAAAAAGGGGCGGGGTTTGACAAAAAACTCAAAAAATTGCGAAATTGAAAATAATTCCTACAGAATTATAGAAAACAAAATGTGTAGAAAGAATGGGGCAGAGAAAACAAGCAGAAAAAACAAAAGAAAGAGTAATGAGGTGACAGGAACAAGCTGTCACTAAAAAATAAAGAAAGGAATTTTTGGCGGGAAAAAGGATTGAGTGGACAACAAAAAATTAGGGGTGAACGGCTAAAAAATTAACGAGAAGTGAACGGGGGACAATTAACTAAAAGACAATTCAATGAAAGTCGCCAAATTGGCGACACTCCCCCCGCGCAAGAAAACAAAAGTTCCGTCGAATTCTTCTGCCTTCTTCATGATTAATCACAACCAGTGTTGACGTTACGCCGCATTCCAGAGACAGTTGACGGCATGTTGCGTCGAAACATCTGATTGCGTCCAAGTCGATGACGATGGTGGTGAAGTGCGCTTTCGCTAATTCCCCTTTTTCGAGCTTTTGGTGAGGGGCGGCACTCCGCTACCTGGCCTTCTTGTTGTCGTGCATTCGTGCTAATTTTTCGGACTGAAGAACACTTCGTATTCAGTTGAGCAGTGGCAGCCCCGGTAATTCCAGCTTGACTAACACTCAATGATTTTCCAGCGTCCAAAAAGCTCGTCGATGTGACAGCCGCGGTCGTTCCAGCTTGGTAAGTAGGTAGGACTTTTTCAGCGGCAAACAAGCTCGTTGTCGAGTAGTCGGCAGCGGCGGTAGTTGCATCCATTCTTGCTCGAGCTCTAGTAATCATGTTGTGACATGGTGGTTTTGGTGGATTATCTTTTTTCTCTTTTAGTTTAGTTCGTTGAGGTGATGGTTCCTTGACGGGGTCAGGCGTGGTTGGTATGACAATTTCAACATTTTTACTCGTTTCTAGTGGACACAAACGATTGATCGGTCTGGTTAATATTTTGCCATTTGCCATCAAAACCTTGGCGCTTCTAATGTTGGGTTCTTGACCATTTAATTCGGTAATTCGTCCCAAGGACCAAAGATTGCGAGGACGAAGATCCTCTTCGATTAGCACTACGTCGCCAACCATGGGTATAGATTTATCCAGAGATCGAGGTCCACGGTGCGTCCATCCTGATCTTTCTCGTAATACAAGCAGGTATTCTTTGGTCCACCGAGTCCAGTAATATTCAACAGCTTCCTGAGTGGCACGCCAGTGAATTGCTAACTTTTCATGCGAAGGTAAACGCTTATCCTCGTCGTCCTCCAATTGGGTAGTAGCCAAGTGCATGTCTGCTCCAGGTAACAAAAAATCCATCGGTCGTAGTGGTATTGGGGCTCCTTCAGCATCAGAGACAGTAGTGAGAGGTCGTGAGTTTATACTAGCTTCTGCTTCAGTCAGAAAGGCACTTAAGTCGTCACACGGTAAGATTCGTCGTCCAAGTGTCCGTTGAATTGAATGTTTGACCAAAGCCACTAGGCGCTCGTATATTCCACCTGCCCAAAGGCTAAGCTGCGGTATAAAGTGCCAATCAATTCCAGAACGTGCTGAAAATTCTGCTGGATCGTCTGACATCGCTAGTGTCTTTAGAGCTTTTACTGTTTGCACAAATGTCGGCGCGTTGTCTGAGAGAATTCTTCTAGGCTTTCCTCGTCGGCTGATGAATCGTCTAAGAACATTAATAAACGAAGGTGCACTCAAATCATATGTTGGTTCCAAATAGACCGCTCTGACGGACAAACAAGTAATGATAACAATCCAAACTTTGACAACCACTCCGGCTTGTCGGGCGAGTGTAGGACCAAGATAATCGAGACCAACAGATTCAAAAGGTCGTCTTCGTTGGACTCTATCAGCAGGAAGTGGTGGCATGATAGGTAAGGCATATTTTGGCTTATTCATCAATCGACATCTGGAGCACTGGGAAAGTATCTGCTTAGTCGTTCTTCGCGCTTGAGGTAGGAAGAATTCTCGCAATACTTCAGTAAGAGTCCAGTCCACTCCAGCATGTTTGAGTCGTTGATGCACGTCCAAAATAATTAGAGAAGTAATCCCAGCCTGACGTGGTAACCAAATGGGATTGACAGGAGCACATGACTCGGCGTTCTTATCAATTCTCGTTCTCATTCGAATTATTCCTTCTGGGTCGACCACGATATGTATGCTTTTCATTTCCAATCTGTGTTCACGTTGCGCCAGTCGTATGAGCAAAGAACGAGCAATTCTGTAATCATTTGCAGTAAAAATGCCGTTTGTAGACACACGAGTTGGAAACTGTACACAACGGAGTTTGATGAAACGTAACACCAATATAACTGTTCCAAGCAAGGTAAGCAGTGAGCTAAATCGTTTTGCGTCAAAGATAGGTTCAGCCGGCACTTCGTTCACCACACCAACAAATTGTTCGTCCGAATTCTTGTCGTGTATTATTTCACTCTTAACAGGTAAGTTGAACTCCATTTCGCTAGGCCATTGGTCAGAGGGGGCGTTAATCCAGATTGGTCCGTTCCACCAGAGTTTGGTGTTCATCAATTGAGCTGCGGTGGTTCCGCGTGTCGCTATATCAGCAGGGTTGAAACTAGTGTTCACATAATGGAAGGTCATGTTCTCTTGCTTTCTAATTTCCCGCAGGCGATTCTCCACAAAAACAGGTTGAGTCTCTTTGCTCTTTATCCAGGCCAGGACTATCTGGGAGTCGCACCATAAGTGAGTTGCAGTAATTGAACGATGTATCTGCGCAATAACAAAGGCCGTTGCTCGCACACCCAAAAGCACTCCCATAAGTTCCATTCTCGGTATAGTCATTTTTTCACGCGCTTTTCTAGGTGTAAGCCTCACTTTAGAAAATACAAGTCTCGTCTTCGATTCAGATCTCAAATAGACGGCAGCAGCATAAGAAGCCTCAGAAGCATCAGTAAACACGTGTATTTGTATGTCGGTGTTCTGGCCAAGTACAAAACGTTCCTGTCGGATGATGGATCCATTCCAATCAGCACAAATTCTTTTCCAATGTTCAGATTCTCCAATAGATAATTCGGTATCCCATCCATGAGATTCATCCCATAACTTTTGAAAGAACTTCTTTGCCTCCAAGGTGCACGGTCCAACGAGTCCCAAAGGATCAAAAATTCCAGCTAGAACGCTCAAAACAGTACGACGAGTGATAGGCGAGTTGCTCTTCGTTGTGGGAAGCTCAAAGAGAACCTCGTCAGATTGGACATCCCATGTAATTCCAAGAACTTTAGCTTGTTTTTGATCGAGTCGGTCTTCCTCCGGCAGTGCACTCATGACATCAGTTGAGCTTGAGATATATTCACGTAAGTTCATCTTTGCTTGTTTAAACACTTCTTTAGCAGCTATGGCTTTAGTTCTTGCTTCTTCCTCGCTTTCACACTCAATAAGCAGATTGTCCACGTACACGTTTCTGAACAGCACCGCATCTTGTTCCGGTCCAAATTTAGCCAGATGAGCACGGATGACGGAAGCCAACATAAACGGAGATGAAACAACTCCAAAAGCCACACGGCAAAATCTATAAACAGCCAGGTTCTCGCCAGTTGGTGGTTGCAACGGCTCCTTCGCCCACAGGAATTTGCACACCTCTCGGTCCTCTGGTTCGAGCTCAATCATCAGAAAAGCCTTTTCGACGTCGGCAAGGACTGGTATAGCACAGTTACGAAAGCGGAGGAGTACACCAGCCAGATCGCGTAACAAAACAGGTCCGCGGTAGAGACAGTCGTTTAGACAAGCTTGACCCTTCGGATGGGCACTGGCATCGTAAACCACTCTTAGTTTCTTCGGAGTAATAACGGCATGGTGGGGTAAGTAGTGTTCGCGATTATCCGGGTTGCAACTGGTTAGCTCGATAATTCCTTGTTGTTGCTGTTCACAAATAACTTCGTTGTATTTCTTAAGCTGGTCTGGTTCGTTTCGTAGTCGATTGAGTGTAGCCACCAGTCGTCGATACGCCATAGCAAAATTAGATGGTAACTCAGGGCACGGATCCCGCCACGGCCATTTCACGCAATAACGTCCATCCTCCAATTGCCGAATTGATTGTTCAACCATTTTCTCCGCCAGTTGGTCGTCGTCTTGTGCTGGGTCGTCCTTTATTCCAATTGTTTCCAAAGACCAAAATTCTTCGATTGTTGTTGCCGAAGGCATCTGCTCTTGATTAATTGAGTTGACTGCCATTAACGATGAGGGAGTCTTATTCAGTCCAGGTAAGCTAGCTTCTCCTCCAAGTACTGGTCCAAGAACAGTCCGAATGATTGTATATCCCTGGTTGGTCATTCTACAATCAATAAAGTACTTCCAAAATTCCCGTGTCCCAATGAGTATATGCGGTTTTCCAATGTCCATTCTCAGAACGTAGTTGTAAGAGTCGTCGTTGCCTATGCACTTCGGAGTTTCCATTTGAGCCGCAATTTCTTCAATGTAATTGAGTTCGATTCCTTCCCATTGGTCATCATATCGCTTGAGT